ACAGCCGCCCCGCGCCGCCTCGGCGGGGCCCGCCGGCGAGTCTAAACCCAAGAGCGGTAAGAGAGGGTTCACGGTAGTGAGACTACTGCTTTCTCCTCCTGGGTTACCCGGGAACTAGGCTTTCCGTCATAATTCCTACCTCCATTTCCGTGGTTTTCATTTATAATTAAGTTAATCAGCTACGTACCGCTTGATTTACTAGGATTATTGCATTGATACTCAAAACAGCTGGTGAAGTTGGTGCTCCTATCCCTATTTTGCAGATTAGGAAACTGAAATTTCAAAAAAGATAAAATCACCCAGCTAATGTCTGCCTCACAGCAGGAATTAATACCTGGTTTTTCCGACTCCTCAGTCCACGGTCTGAAACCACTAAGTTTGTTCTGTCCTTTAATGTTGAATTAGCATTGGATAGTGTTCCAAGTTTAAACAAGAGGGTGGGGCTCGAGGGCTTTTCAAATTCAATCAAGCCTTATATTTAATAACCTGGCCGCATGGATTCTTCAGTTGAAGAGGATTCTTGTGTTTTTTTTTTTTGTTTTTAATTAATTAATTAATTTATTTTTTTGAGGATTCTTGTTTAAATAGCTTTGTTCCAAGAGCAGATGGGTGGGGATATAGCTCAGGGGCAACGACACTTGCCTCCTAGGGCTTTGTTCCAAACCTAGCGCAGCAAACATACGCAAAAAGAAACAAAACTTGTTAAATAAAAAGCAGATTTTGAGTCCGGCTTGGTGGCACATGCCTGTGATCTCAGCATTCCAGAAGCTAAGCGTAGAGAATCCAGGTTTGAAGGTCAATCTGAAGTAGGTAAGGAGCCCTCTCCCCACAGAAGTACCCCCCTCCCCATGAAGACACTTCTTGATTCGGTGTTTTCAGGTCCAGGCCTTGAATGAGTGTATGATTCCTTACCTGTAAAGGAGCTAGTAGAATATTAAACAAGTGAACTAAGAGCTTAGAAGTGTACCTGACTACCATAATGCACCATAAACATTATACTTATTTTTATGTTAGGCTATGGTGTTGCCTTTTAATAGGAGTTTGTAATTTCTGTAGTCATGCTTTTTAATATTAAGTTACGAACATAACGATGGTAATAGCTGCCATTTATTGAGGGCTTATCATGAACCACACACTGGGCTGGGCTTTATCTCTTATCACTAGCCATCTAGCAAGTCTAGCCTATCTAGCAAGGTGGGATTTTTTCCACTTTAAGGAATAAGGTAAAAGGGTCAGATGTTAGGAGTTGGCAGATTCTGGAGTTCATCATTCTCATCTTATTTTAAAGTGTGTGTGCTAATCTCTGCTGTTTTCATTATATAAGCAATAATAGGAAGCTGTTTTCAGTGAAAGTGGGAATTTGTGGCAAAGGGTATAATGTTTGGAGTTCTCAATGTAGAGGTTCAGTTGTTTAAAATTTTTAGGATTAAAAAACAGGATACTCCCAGATACATACTTGAAAACTGAAGTAGGAGGATCACAAGTTTGAGGTCAGCCTGGGCAATTTATTGAGACCCTGTCTCAAAAAGTAAAAAGCTGGGGATATACCTCAGTGGTAGAGTGCCCATGGGTTCAGTCCCCAGTACTGCAAAACAAACAAAAAAACTAAGACTTACTGGAATTCAGATTTTATCAGCTGGGTGTGACAGACTTGTTTACCTGATGTGCCTGAGGACTTGTGAAGTTTGCTTGTGGAACTCAGGTGGAGATCATTTGTCTTTATCATAAAGCAGGAGCCCATTGTAGAGGTCCACACCTAGCCAGTAATCCTAGTATTCTGGGAAGCTGAGGCGAGAGGTTTGAAAGTTCCAATCTAGCCTGGGCAATATTAGCAAGTCCTGGTCTCAAAAAGGGGATGTAGCTCTGTGTAGAGGCTCTCGGTTCAACCCCTAGGGCTGCTAAATAAGTACATGAACAAATATCTAAGCAGATTAGTGTGAACTCAGGCCAGGTCAGGAAGTACTACAGTATGCAGACTAATTTTGGTGTGGTTTTACCATAGATCCCTCTAATGTTAGAGGATAGCCAATCCTATTAGTCATTGTTGGGTCGCACTAGAGTAGACTGAGTATTTCTCAAGGTAACTTTTGTACTTTATTCTCAGATGTAGTTTTGAGGATTTGGTTCTCCAATTCAATTCTTTGCCAATTTTTCTACCCCCCTCCTCTTCTTTCTTTAGCGTTTGGAGAAAGGGTCTTGCTGTGTAATCCAACCTGATCTTGAACTCATTATGTAGTCTGTTCTGGCCTTGAACTCATGGCAGTCCTACCTCAAGTGCTGGGATTACAGGACTGCACCTGGCTGTAGGGCCCTTCTTTAAACCAGTGATGCATTCATGAGTCAGCTGCAATAAGTGCCTTAAATTTCTTAGTGAACAGTAGGTGAAATTTTGTGACAGCCCACACATAGCAACAAAAACAGTGAAGTATTTCAGGCATTGTATTTTTGTGGTGTTTTGTTGTTGGTGATGTTTTTGTTTTTTTTTTTTGGTATCGGAAATCGGGTCCCTTGTGCTTCTGATTCAGGGTGGGTCAAGGTGGGCGGCAGAACCACTGAGCTAAATCCCCAGCCCAGTTTTTTGTTTTTTAAGGTTCCTAGGGATTGAATGCAGGACCTTGTGCTTTCGAGGCTGGCGCAGTGCCCCTGAGCTACATCCCCATCCTGTATTTCTGTGTTCTTCTTGACTTTGAGTGTTGATAAGCACAACTATCTGATTACTCAACAGGGTACAGTATTCTGTTACAGTTTAACCAAAGTGAATAATTGTCAGGTCAATATTGCAAATAGTTGTGTAGAATGAGCTTTCTGTTCACTCTGACGTTTAAAGTGATTTTTTTAAATCATTAAATAAAAACTTGTTTGCTTCCCTTTTTTTAACATCAGTTTATTATTTATTTATTTATTTTAGTAGTGGGGATTGAACTCCGGTCCTTGTGCTTACAAGGTATGCGGCAGAACCACTGAGCTAAATCCCTGGCCCTTGTTTACTTTCTTAATTAAAAACTAAGGAAATCATTCACAAAGAATATTTGTTAGGTTTCACAAAATACATAAGTATTCCCTCAGGTGGCATTAATTTTTGTTTAATATGTTTGCTAGAAAGCTTGACTAGGTTTGCCCTTGCCAGTGCCTAGTTTCAGGCTTCTACTATGTACAATATATTCTCTGCAAGGAAGGAAGTTGCTTGTAGCCAAATACTTTACCAACCATGATTTACTGCTTGCATTTAGGGAACAGCTCACATTTAGAAACAAAAGGCAGAACAGGTAGAGATGAGGAAACTCTGGATATTGGCTAATTTTTAAAGCTGAACTGAAAGATAGCAAATTCTGCCTTCTTTTTTTTTTTTTTTT